AAAATAACCTGCCCAAAACCAAGCAGCTCATCAGGACCACCCTGTATGGTCGTTCAGGACCACTGCACAAGGAAGCCCCACCTAAGAGGATGACATTTGCATTATAGACAAATACTAAATGATATGCCAGCATGCCATGGGCACAGAGCTTCCAGGCCTCTCAGGTATGTCCTAGAGTGGCCAGTCCTTTGTAAGCCCACCAAGACACCCATGACCTGGCCTCCACCGAGGAGCACAGGAACTCATACACTCACTGATGCAGGCAAGAGCATAGCTGCACTAGGTTCTGACCATGCCCCCAAGCATCCCCTGATGTACTTCTCACATTGCTCTGGCTCTCGGTGGCTGATTCCCATCCTACACCAGACCGAGTCTGTTATGATTGCCTTGTAGAGGTGACGGGGCAGGTGCACACTGGTGTTCACGGGATTGTGAGCCTGAGAGAGCAGGGCTGTCTGTGCACGTGAGGCCGAGGCCTGATTCCTAGCCAGATAGTATCTTACCCTGGGTTCCCCAAAAAGCAGAGCCAAAGAAGAGGCTTCTGTGTGAGCATTTTATTCAGGAGTGTGATCCTAGGCAGTGGACGGGAGGCATGGGGAGTTGTAGTGGTTTCCTATGGCTGCTGTACCAAACTCCCAGAAACTTGGTGACTTAGAACAACACACATTTGCTCTCTTACAGTTCGCTGACAATCAGAAGTCCGAACTTAATTTCACTGGGAAGAAATCCAGGTGCTGGCAAGGTCTCACACTCTCTGGAGTCTGTAAGGGAGAATCCATTTCCTTGCCTTTTCCAGCTTCTAGAACTACATTCCTTGCATTTCTTGGCTTGTGGCCCTTTTGTCCATCTTCAAAACCAATGGCATATGATCTTGCTTCAGTTATCACATTGCCCTCTTCTATAACCAAATCTCCCTCTGCCTTCCCCTTATAAGGACGCTTGTGATTATGTCTAGAACCCACCCAGATAATCCAGAATAATCTCCCCATCTTAAGATCCTTAACTCAATCACATTGGCAAAACCCCACCTGCCATAAGACAACCATCACAGGTTCCAGTGATGACGATCTGGGTATCTCTGGGGGCCATTATTCAGTCTCCCCAGGAGTAAAGATGAGAAGGAGGGAGAGCCATGGGAAAGACGTATAAGGTGCCTTCATTTGAACTTCCACACTCGGGCCCATGCTGCTCCTGCCCCCCAAATTCATGACTCTGTTTCATTTTAGGACCACCTCCCTCCTATGCTTCTGGGCATGGAGTGTTCATGCCCCGACTCTCAGAAGCCCCCTCAAGGGTTCCAGCATGACTTTGCTCCACCCACCCCCACCTGGTGGGTGCCTATCCTGGCCAGCCCTGCAGGTCTTCAGTCTGCCCCTCGCTCTTGCACAGCAACAAGATTCAGGTATTTTCAGCAAGTTCTTCATAGGGAAGTTTCTAATTCCTCCTGGACAGGCTGAGCCTTGACCCTACCAGTCCCAGGCACAATCCTGACCCTGGTCTGGACCTTGATCTTTGTCTGAGTTTCAGTTCAGTCCCAGACTTAGCCCAATGCTCATCCCAGGCTAAGCTTTTCAACTCTGCCCCAAAGGTGTCTTTACCCTGCACTGAGTTCTGACCCCTGTCCCAGGCCGAGCTCCAAATGATCCTAGATTGTCTCCCAACCTAAAGCAGTCCACAAATGGAAATTTTTAGTTTAAACAGGAAAATTGATAGAGAAAGTGAATGGTGTAGTTCAGCCTTCACACTCTGAGAGTTCAGCTTCCATATCACGTGCCTGGGTGGGTCGGTTTAGCGAGAGCATCAGGGTCACAGTAGAAAGATCACCTTGCTTGGGCCCTGATCCAAGCTAGGTCACCTTTGGCTAAGTTCTAAAAGACACTTTTCTGGGCCTCAGTTTCCTTTTCTTACCATGGAAGATATTATAAGGGCTCTGCAACCTTGTGCCTGGGAGTCCTTTGTGCATTGTGGGATAATGTAGGGTTTCACTTTCAAGGGTACTTATGGACTGATCGTCATGCCCCTCTCCTGACAGAAAGGGCAGTTCTTCTGCCAACACTGCAGAGACGCTGGGCTTTCCCCAAGATCCGACCTGCCGACAATATGTTTGAACAAGGCTCCTACAAGCCCTGGCCCTGCTGCCATCAGCCGACCTAGTTTCATTTCAGTTCCCTTAAAAGAGAACTTTATCCCAGTTCGCTCTGACAAATGTGTTTCTTTATTAGGGTGAACCCAGCCCTTGGAGGCAGCAGAGCAGGTCACGTGCTGGCAAGGTTTCCATGGAAATTATTCACTTTTATTGAATTATTCATTTGCGCTGTCCACCTAGAACGTGCCCCCAGGCTCACAGCTGTGACAGACGGACACTGAGACAGAGAGGCATGTGGCCAAAGGCCCCTCCACACATTGGCAGCTCTGCCTGAGAGCCACCCCATGACAGGGACAAGGCTGAGAACTTTAGGTCAAGGGCCCCAGAGTCCCTCCCCCTTTCAGATCCAGGGGACAGTGGGTGTACAGTGATTTAGTGTGCAGAACCTGGCTCCAAACTGCTGGTGTTCAAGTCTCCTCTCTCCCTCTTCCCCTCTTTCCTCCACTGAGAAGTGTCAATAGAAAGGTGCCCACCTCACAGGGCTGTTATTAAATTTCAGACTTAAAAAATATGTAAAATGCTAATAATAACTTTGGCTTTAATTTTCTTACAAACTGTGTAATTATGGACCTTCTCCTTCTGTAAAATGAAAACACCAGACCAAACAACCTCAAAGTGTCCAACTCTGATATTCCCTCCATTGACAGTACAACCAAATGGCATCTTCTTGCCTCAACTGTCAAGTTTTTCAGACACACAAAATCCCTTTCCCACAGCAGACTTTGCCCTCTTCCCAGCGGCAGTCACAGGTCACAGTTATAAAGCAAATATGTGTTAAAGACCAAACAGGCCCAGTTCCAATTTCAAATTCAGGGGAAAGACTGGTCCCGCGATCCTTTGGCTCTCCCAGGCTAAGGGGTGTAGATGCTGCTTCACCCACAGTCTGATGGATCAGGTAACTTTTACTAAAATCACCATCACCACCTGCAGCCTGCAGGGATCACTGCGGCTTGCTGGTACTGCCTTCAAACAACTGAGTCTCAGGAAGACGGGGGGG